CGCGGAGTGAGGGTTCTCGACCCCGCACAACATGATCTACTCGACCACCATTGGATAGGTTACCGCAAAAAAAAAACAGAGGGAACAAAAAAAAAGGTAACCTGGTTGCCGAGTTCACGAAGTGACTTGGCTTGTTGTACAACGTCGTTGCCAAGCGACGAAAACCCAATCCCGATGGCAAACACCGAGCGAGGGGGTGGCTTGTTTTACAACGTCGTTGCCATGCGACGAAAACCCATCCCCGATGGCAAACACCGGGGCCGGGGGACTGCGAAAACACGTACGGCAAGCTATGGGTGTAGAGTACTTCTGTGTGAAATGTGTGTGTGTGTTGCATCCTATTTATTACGGCGACAGTCCCCCCATTTTCAGAATATGGAGTACTACACACTTTTCAGGTGTATTTTTCGTACAACAACCATCCCGGGGGGGGCGTTTTTTCTTCTTTTTGTCTTTATTTTCGTAACCCACCTCCCTCCCGCGGTGCGTGCTGATTTTTTTTTTTATCGCGAGAAGGGTCCAGCCGTCCCTTTCCCTCGTCGACGGTGCTAACGTCGAAGTTTTTGGTAGTCACGGGGGCTTTTCCAGCTTCGGTTTCACCCGCAACAATGTAATTTTTTCTTCCCATGGGGATTCGAACTCACGACTGTGCCGCTTGCCTCCTTTTATTTTTATTTCCTACTTGTTTCGTCCTTTTCGTTTCTTCCCCGGATGGTCTTCTCTTATTCTCTCTGCAGCAAGATTGGACCAGGGGATGGGCCTCTCTCTCTGGCCTGTGATGTTGAATTCCAGTTGATTTCGGCCCCACGTTGCGTGTGTGTAGAGGGGAGCGGTAGGCCCCAGACTGTCGGTCGTTGAGTTAAATGGGCTTGCAGACCCTTCGGGTCCGTTGTATCGAGTAGATACCTTTTTAGGTAAGTTAGCCTGTGACCACGGGAATCGCTCGGGCGAGTGTTTGATCAGTACGGGCAGATGAAGGTACTAGATAGAGAGATCGGAACGGTTCTTGGTATCAAGACAACAACAACCTTCCGCACCAACCCATGGTCAACATGCAAGGAGATTTGAATCGCTTATAAACCATCTCATCAAATCCTGGCGCGGTAAACCTTTCCATCCTATCGTACTATATCCACGAGAGATTGAATCCATCCCATATCAAGCGGAGGCAACTGAAAAACATTTTGCTTTGTGTGATCATCCTATCCCACGATACACCGATCGATCTATGGCGCTACAGTACAACTCTTCGCGAAATGTCACCCTCGAAAACAGCGCGCAAATGTCAATTCACGCATAACCACCCACCACGCACAAATCCAAGCAACACACAAGATCACTTACAACGTGAGCCTCGTAACCTGCATATTATTCGTTCTGACGAAGGGCATACGGCATGCACACAAGCATGTGGCCGAATATTTTGCGTGACATTAATGACAACTCACATTCTTTGGCGATCCCACAAATAGTGGTATGGCTATGGACGGACTATAGCATCCAGGGACAAGTACAGAATACAGAATCCACACCATGTACCCTCCCTGAATGTGCGCAACATGGCTATGTTGTTGTGTGTCATTTCAACTCGCGAGAAACGCGCTCACACGTGCCTTCGTGTCGAGGAGAGATGCTCTAGAATACAGAGCAAAACAACACAAAACACAAATGCAAACACCATAGCGACGAGAAAGGATACCCCACTCATAGTATCTGTGCGACAGATATACACAGTTGACTCCTCTCTAAAAGAACATAAACATTATGAAAAAAAGGTACTGAGACACGGCGAGAAGATCGGAAAAAGCCACGCTCGCCGACGCCACGCTTGCAATACCTCTCCAATCTGATGCTGTGACTTCACACTTCGTTGTTGGTCCCAATACAAACGAGCACCTCTTCCGAAAGGACCCTGACCGAAGGCCATATTTGCGGCAAAAAACTCGCAGAAGGGCCGAGAGTACCGAATCTTTCACTTGTCCGAAGAACGAGGTACCCAGGGCGAAACGCCGTGTATTTTCGAATTTCTCCTCATTTTCATCACACGCGCCCCATGTCCTTGCCTACCGCATGTATCGCCGTTGCTGCTGCAAATCAATCCATGCCTCCCTGCGCTACAACCCCACCGAGGAACACTAGAGGCTAAGCGTCTGTCTGAAGTGCTGCCTTTATCGCACGAGCGACGTCCTGTTCTGTATAGCGCTCCGGGATCGCACTGTACTCGCTCATGGGACCGCTCTCGGTCAACAGCTTTCCCGCCTCTGGGTCCGCCCGCCGACCGTTCCCGTGGCCGTTCCCGTGACTGATCAAATTCTCTTGGAAACCCACCGAAGATGCTGAAGAGGCGGATCGTGGAGGCGGTAGCTCGAGCGGCTGGAGGTCGCCGATGAACTGGAGATCCGCGCGGTCCTTCTGCGGTCCGATGAATTTGGATGACCGCGTGACGAAGAGGGAGGCGAGAGCCGCGCACAGGGCCGGGGCCAGGATGTTGGGCTGCCCTGAGAGGGCGACAAGGATCAGCGGCGACGCAAACGGCGTCCGTGTCACTGCCACGTTGAGGCCCGCCGCAAAGCACATGCACAGGAGGGCGGGGCTCGCAGTTACCCAACCAGGAGCCAGGACGTCGTCCGTAATCGACAGGAGGGCGCGGCCGAACGAAGCCCCAGCAAAGAAGAGCGGGAAGATGAAGCCACCCTGTAAGCGCAGCAAGACAGGGACGAATCGATGGTTGTCGAGTCGGGGCAAAGAAATGGCCAAGCTCACAAGAGGTTCGAGCTGGAGTGGAGGCTGTAGTAATGAAAACGTGGGAGAATATTCTTGGCATCTCCTTGTCAACCAGTGTACGGTACCCTCGTGGGTTGTGCACCTCCCCAGAGACATGGTGATTTGATTGATTCCCTATGTAGCGCAATCCACTTACCCGAAAGCCTGATTGCACGGTGCACGCGATGGCCAGCAGTTTGACCAGACCGACGAGCAAGTACATTGGGCCCGACTCCCACGGATATCGCTCGAGACCATAGAAGACTCCTCCCTGCGAGGAGAGAAAACCGATCGTGTTCATGAGCCGGTGTCATGTTGAAAACGATACTGCTGCCTATGCTCCTTGTGAAGCAGGCCACAGAACCAGCGGTGTGCATAGTTCGGGACGGGGTCGACAGAGAGTATTGTAGAAGGTTGTCCTTCAAGCCTTTATTTCACCTGCGGCCAGATGTGGGGCAGGTCTTTGCCTGGCTCGGCGATCGAGCCGATCTCGAACTCAGCCCAGAACATGGACGGTGGCACCAGAACACCCATCAGGGACACGCACAGCCCGCCCAACGCGCACAGAATGATGGGTGACTTGGTGTCCTCGAAGTGACCAAGGCCAAGGATGTTTACCCCTTTGCCTATTTTGCGGAACATGCTGGAAGGGTGTTGCAAAGTAAACGGAGGGCGCGAGTAGAACCGATGGCGTAAGGTAAAATCCAGCAAGTTGTTCTGAGAATCCGCGATGTGCTTCTATGGTCTATATGCAACAATATTTAGCGCACGACCGAAGGGCGGGTTTCTCCACGGTACTACTGTCATTCACCTACAATGAGGCCCTAAAAGGTCTATTCATCCAGAGGAACAGGGTGAGCAGTTTTTCGTTCCCCATTAGGTATCGCAAACGCGTTCAATCGGGTGGTCAGGCCAAAGGTTTTCATGTCGAGTCCGACAACAGATGCCAGCACGTCAGATGCTTTGACGGTCAGTGGTGATCGGGCTAGTAATAAGCGCTGCATGACACAATCCACTGCCACTGTTGTGTCGGAGGTGGCGACGAAGCTGCAACGCGTGAAACCCCAAAAAACTACAGAATGCACACCTTCGGAATGCGATTCCAACGCCACCCGCCATCGCCCCGACAACCGCCCCGAGGACAACCTCCGTCGCACTGCTAAGCGGCGAATCAGGAAAGGGCCAAATCTGGCCGAATTCCTCTCCCTGGAGAGCGCGGTAGACGGCCAAGCACACGCCGCCCGACCCGACCGCGTAGACGGACACGTCAAAGAACTGCGTTCCCATGGTGTGGAGAACCTCGAGGGCAAACAAAGAGCCTGGAAATGACGTTGCATATCGAGAATGAGGTAGGGGTGAGCAAAGCACAAGCCGAAAGCCTCATGTGTCAGTGGATCTTTGTCTATAGTATGTTTCCACATGAGGCTTTCCGGTCGCAGCTGCGTCATCGTCACGTTACGCTGTCCCTGAATTCTGTCCCAGGGCGGACAAGACATGACCAGTTGCCGCAAACCCACGGCAGCAGTCCAGGCGACAACGCGGTACAAGCATACTTGCAAGTATACCATACGATCCACACCCTGGTTTCACCAATCAACGACGGTTGTTGCGGTACACTACCACGTTGACGCTATTGTCCGCTGCTGCTGCAAGTATGGTGGATCTGCGCCCTCACCGCCGAGCTGAACGCCAAAAAAAGCGCTGAGTCCCGCAGACATGCCGATAATGGTGCACTTCCGAACCATCACTATGTCATGCCTGAAGAAGTACATGGAGATGTACCCCGATACTGCCGCCGACACGGCCACGAGGGGAGCTTCTGGCCCCAGCGAGCCACCGGCCGCAATACTGAAAAGGCTGCAGCAAATCTGGGGATCAGGGCGGAAAGAAGTAAAAGGAGGAAGTGGCCAGCAGTCAACTCTATGAAAACAGCAACCGGTACATGGCTTGACGGCGAAAAACCCGGCGTAACGCACTTCCTGGGGCCAGGTTCAAGCTGAAACACTCCTTGTTCACACTCCAACTCACCATCGGTGGTGTTTGGCACATCGGAACGTATCCAAGCTTGTGGACGCAATGGATGACGTCCGGGAGATCGCCGGGAAAACCCAGGAACTTGATACTCGCTCCCGCAGCCGTGGCTAGGAAGATGGAGGCAGCCATGGTGTAGAGGAAGCCCCACTTGCTGAGGATGGCCAGGCCGTCTTCGGTTTGTTCTGCTTTTTTCTCAAGGTATCCGGGAATCACCTTCCAGACAACTCTAAGGGACAGCTCCATCGCCCCATTGTACCTTGATGTGGGATGTGTACGGAGAAGATGGAATTCAAAATCCGTGGCAAAGGCAACGTGGACAAACAAAACACAGCCTTCGGGCAATGTTTGGGGATGGCCCCCTCGAAGAGTAGGATATATTGAGCATTAACGTACAAGACACGCACAGGTGCTGTCGCTAGCTCCACACTTACGCAGGGCCCCAGGAATCACTGTTGCGCAGGTTCTTGGATCCTTGAGCTCATACACAACAGAACACAGTACTTGAGGGCACGCTATCTGACACAGATACGAGGATGGAAGCTGGATTCATCCGTAAAATATATCCCGAAAGCTACGAAAGAGGCATCTGCCTTGTCAATCGCCGAAAGGTTCAACTTACAAGAAGGCGATGAGTCCCACCAGGAACCCGAACAAGATCTGGAGATGGCCGTGCAGACCGTGATGGGATGTTTGGAACGATTGGTAGTGACGCGCCATCAGTGTGAGGAGGGAGCAAATGGCACATGCCGGAGTTAGGTTTTGCCACGTATCACTTGAGGTGGGAGCATCGATGATTGCAATGATGATTGATGCTCCTGGGACAATGTGCCTGATTTCGTGCATGTGGCGGTTGGGATCCTGTTAGCCCTCCCCCGCATTTCCATATTTCCACTCCTGCCAAGCGGAACTACTCTCGGTCAACCTCCAAACCTTTAAAAACCGCAAACAACGTGTTCGCCGAACAGTCGACCGTGCCGCCAATAGTTTCCTCACCATCATCTTGATCAGTTCTCCTTGCCGGTATGACGCCGTGATGGGCTCCTCCTCCTCCTCCTCCTCCTCCTCCTCCTCTTCCTCGTGCGACTCTCTCATTGTAGTCTCTTTCTTTCCGAACGTCGACCCTTCGGATTTCACGGAATCATCCGGTAGAGGGTCCTCGACGCTAATTGTGTTCTGAAGCGAGAGCGCGTTGTACCCTCCGGCACTGGCGCCGACACCTGTCAACGAGCCCATCTCGTCCTGCCTGACCGTGCTGCCGTTAACGTTAGCGCCAGACGCAACACCGGGACGCTTACACTCAGAGCAGACAAACGGTTGAAATGCTGAAGAGGCAGATCGTGGAGGCGGTAGCTCGAGCGGCTGGAGGTCGCCGATGAACTGGAGATCCGCGCGGTCCTTCTGTGGCCCGATGAATTTGGATGACCGCGTGACGAAGAGGGAGGCGAGAGCCGCGCACAGGGCCGGGGCCATGACGTTGGGCTGCCCCGAGAGAATGGCAAGGATCAGCGGCGACGCAAACGGCGTCCGTGTCACTGCCACGTTGAGGCCCGCCGCAAAGCACATGCACAGGAGGGCCGGGCTTGCAGCCACCAAACCAGGAGCCAGGACGTCGTCCGTAATCGACAGGAGGGCGCGGCCGAACGAAGCCCCAGCGAAGAAGAGCGGGAAGATGAAGCCCCCCTGTGTGTCCCACAGAAAATCGCAATAGGTGTACGTTGTTGTTTCGTGGGGAGAGGAGAAACAAACGCCCCATGCTCGACTATATTGTTCGCGCAACACTGAAAACGATTGGAGACAGATAGAAAACATGGCTCAAGATGGGTTTGGAGCCGTGCATGCGCATGGCGGGCGAAAGGGGTTGCTTGGTTACGAAGCTCCACCCCCAAGATCAACTACTCCTACGGCAACATTTCAAGTAAATATTTGTGGAGCCCATTGTGTAACAATTGGTCGCCATTCACGCCAAGAATATGACACGCAAGAGCACGACCTTCAAGGTTGTTTTTCAGGGGAGATTGGTTTTCTTAATCGTTTCTCAGCTCGCTTGCTCTATTGATTCGTTCCCTCTCGAGCGCGATCCACGTACCCGGAAGCCTGATTGCACGGTGAACGCGATGGCCAGCAGCTTAGTCAGACCGACGAGCAAGTACATTGGGCCCGACTCCCACGGATATCGCTCGAGACCATAGAAAACGCCTCCCTGAAAGAATTACATCATCCGGGGCGGTGGTGAATGACGATAGGTTTAAATGAAAAATGTAAAAGCTCAGATTGGCGTACCTTGCATAGAATGAGCCGTTGGGCCTGCAGCGGACGCAGTTTCACAACGGTCTCGCAACGTATGCACGAGGGGGCGCTTCAACCCTGTGTTCACCTGGGGCCAGATGTGGGGCAGGTCTTTGCCTGGCTCGGCGATCGAGCCGATCTCGAACTCAGCCCAGAACATGGACGGTGGCACCAGAACGCCCAACACAGACACGCACAGCCCACCCAACGCGCACAGAATGATGGGCGACTCGGTGTCCTCGAAGTGGCCAAGGCCGAGGATGCTCACCCCCCTGCCTATTTTTCGGAACACGCTGGAAGAGTGTCGACGAAACAAGGTCGGAAAGGGGGATGGCCATCGCCGAGAAGGCGGGGAGCCGGCCCGAGGTAATGTTGTTTGAGCGAGGACTATTTGTCTTCGGTAAGCATCTCCGAAATCTGGTAAGGCCGCTGCGCATGTGTGACGCGTCATTCAGGTCTTTGATGTTCAGAAGGGGACACGCCCAAACAAAAGAAGATAGCACCCGTCGGGTTGTGGTAAAATTTACACTCTTGACAGGTACCATCTTCTGGCTTGTTGTTTGCGTTGCTGTAGCAAGAGTGATGGCAAAGCGGCGAAGGCAGCGAAATATTCGACTCGAAACGTTCCCCCTGCGCACCTTCGGAATGCGATCCCCACGCCGCCCGCGATCGCGCCGACAATGGTCCCGCCGATAACCTCCGTCGCAGTGCTTTGCGGCGCATCGGGAAAGCTCCAAATCTCGCCAAACTCATCTCCCTGGAGGCCACGGTAGACCGCCAAGCATACACCGCCCGACCCGATCGCGTAGACGGCCACGTCAAAGAACTGCATCCCCATGGTGTGGAGAACCTCCAGGGCAAACAACGCTCCTGGCAGGTAACCCATCCAAATGTTAGCAAATGCAGCAGAGGGACGGCAAGAGAGGGTAAACTGGTGCTCGGGACACACGTTGAGCAGAAGACGTGGACGTGCGACAGAAGAGGAACGACCGGTGCAACTGTGGTGATCCCCGAAAATTGCGAACGGCGCATTTGGATTGGCAGGGCACGCAGTCAACCACCGGCACATGTGCCGACAATAATGCCCATGGATGAGAGCGTCTGTTTGTGCCATCGTATTTCACTGCATTTTGGCGCACGGCTTCCGAAGGGGAAGGAAGTTCATGTACATACTGTAGGATGGTCGTAGTCGGCCAGGTTAAAACGCGTCCAAGCAAAAATGGCATTGAAAACGCACACACAAGGCGGACACCGATGTCATTGTACATATCGGACAAGAGAACAACGCAGTGCTACCAATGACCACCCGCTACTGATACGGACACATTCAGACATATGCTCTTACCGCCGAGCTGAACGCCAAAAAAAGCGCTGAGTCCCGCAGACATGCCGATAATGGTACACTTCCGAACCATGACCATGTCATGATTGAAGTATTGCATTGATATGTACCCCGATACTGATGCTGATACGGCCACGAGCGGAGCTTCTGGCCCTAACGAACCACCGGCCGCGATGCTGAAAAGGCTGCAGCAAATCTGAGATCGAAGCAGGAGGAGGAAAAGTGATTGCAGGGCACAGACTCAGGATTGCCAAGAGTGTGCTTGGCCCTGATTGGATCCTATTCGGCAGGAAAATCCTTCGTAGATACGTGGTGCTCCTTTTCCGCCGCACCAGCAACTACCAAAGACCTTACAGCTGCTCTCACCATCGGTAGTGTTTGGCACATCGGAACGTATCCAAGCTTGTGGACGCAATGGATGACATCCGGGAGATCGCCGGGAAAACCCAGGAGCTTGATGCTCGCTCCCGCAGCCGTGGCTAGGAAGATGGAGGCAGCCATGGTGTAGAGGAAGCCCCACTTGCTGAGGATGGCCAGGCCGTCTTCAGTTTGTTCTGCTCTTCTCTCAAGGTATCCGGGAATCACCTTCCAGACAACTTTAAGGGACAGCTCCATCGCCCCATCGTACCTAGACATCGGTTGTAGAGAGGGCGTGAACGGATGCGAAACGTGTGGGGAGAAGGTGTGGCGATGATGTGAGAGGCACAGGAAAATAAACGAGCAGGGAGAACAGAAAAAGAAGAAGACTGCAGCCGGCGTCTAAGCTGAATTCAGCAGGGATAGGGAAAGCCATATACAAATTACAGTTTCCACAGTATTCGAATGTACATAAAGTTTCGTGATGGGCACTACCAGGGATGCCTGCAGCTAGCTCCCAATGGTATCGCACCCCAATACTTTTGTCAGACATGGCGTGGCTATTTCACAGAGCGATTCAGTTCGGAGCTCGCTTCATTGATGGCAAAGGGAGCTGCGAACCGGGCCCAAAATGTGTGATCTCAGACCAGTACTCAACAGGCTAGAAGAGCATGAAAAATACTCTGAACGTCTCGGTTACTTTATTGATTGACAGTCGGCATGCTCGGTAACGCAAGGTTGGCTGAGCGGTTCAGTTGGAGACCTCGTAACCTGGTTCTAGGTTGGTTGATTTTCTCCGGCGGCAAAGAACAGAACAAAAATAACAAAAGTCGAGAGTACAACCAACAGAGAGGGAAGGTACTGCTAACCCTTGTCGCGTTATCAAGGGAAGGCAGGCACCCAGGCAGAAAGGAAAGGTGGGAAACTACTCTCGTGAAACTCCGGCTGGTGCACCAAAAACATGTTCCGAAAAATGACGACTGGCACCCAAGAATAGGTGGTGTGTGTGTTCGTCCCATCTATACTGACGCCGGTTTACAGGCCTTTCGGCAAATATACCTGACATATCAGCCGGGGTCACGCAAGAGGCAGGTGACACAGGAGCTTTTATCCTTTTTTGTGTTTGTTTTATTGTACCACTTTTCCGCCTGCGGTGCGCGCCTTAGTTTTCTAGTTTTCTTCGCGAGGGTTTAGCCATCTCTTTCCGTCGTCGACCGTAAAGCCGAAGATTAAGATTGCTTGCTCGCAACCTACATGTGTGTAGCTCAATTCAACTGCAGGTTGCTGGAAATAAATCCCGGGAAACAAACACCTCCGGAGAGCGGATGGAACCAACAACCTGCCGCTAGGAAGTCGTGCAGATTGACCACTAGACCATCACCATAACATGTTCGACCATCAAAGAAACATAAACGGTGTCCGGTTGAGTCACGAAGGTCTTTACCCTATGTGACCGAGTCAGTCTATATTCCGTTATTGCCTCCCCCTCCTGAACGAAAATTTCTCCCCAATCTTACATGCATGCACATGATCGCGGAGGTACAGTACATATACACAGACAAATGCGGCAAAGGATGGCCACAGCAACATGGAGTAATGCAATAGTCTATATACAACTGTACAGCCAGTACCTTATGTGTTTCCGATCTTCGTACAGACAAAGTGATCGGACAATCGGAACTGTAGCCCCCTCGCGTACCACGAGGGCGGGGTTTGAATTTCGAGCAAAAGTCAACTGAACTCCACGTGCCTTCGCTCTACTACTTGTACAAGCACCTACCGACAGTTCCAGACATCCATTTTTTTTTTTCTCCCATCATTGGACTCTGTCGTCTGCCCCTCTGGCCCCTATCCTCCACTTCTACTAGCTAGACGACCCAACTGGGGTCACACAGGAGGGGGGGGTTGGACCCCTTCCTGCTGTTCCTGCCTGAGAAATTTTTATCGCGAGAAAGGTACAGCAATCCCTTCCCTCGCGACTTGCGAAGTCGATTATGGTTTACTAACAACGAACTTTGCAGCGCGTCGCTTTCATCCTAGACCTGGATTTATTTAGTGGGAAAAACCCCACTCTGCCGGGACTCGAACCCATGACCTGACCCTTAGCAGGCTGCGAGGGTACCCACTGTGTACTTAGTTTATCGATGAAAGTCGTACCACCCAAAGTCGTGCAGCAGCAGATTACAGAACGGAAGCAAACGTCGGTACGGACTCAGGTAAGTACTCCACACTTTCCCACCCAGTACAACTTGCTTAAATGAATGTTATCACTCACACGAAGGCGATGAACCCCACCAAGCACCCCAATAGTAGCTGACGGTGTCATGGATGCGAGCAGCATGTGCAAGGTGCGGGGGACGCAGCATCAACAGTCAGAGTTGCACGAGGCCGGATTCCGCAGCTGTGATGGGTTGGCCACGTTGACAGGCAAGCAGCTATACATTGTATCATGGTGACCGCTTGCTTTTTGAGTTAGGGGTGGCTTAGCATTCACCATCCGGAGTTGTCTGTGAGTTGTGAGAAGCGAAAACAGAACCACTCGCTTCGTGATGTAGGAACAGCCAGTACTTGTATGCATCCAGAACACACGCCAGCTATCCCTCCGATAAGATTCAGTGCTCCGGCGTGCATGCAGCAAACATACGAAGGAGAATCCATCTACAACGTAGATGTAAGGGTTTCCAAAGCGCCTTGCCGCACCAACTGCTCTCACCATCAGAAATATCAACTCCCCCTGCCGGTAGGAGGCTGTGATAGCCGATTCCTCAGTACCATTTGTAGAGTCCTTCAGCTGTCCAGACACTTCCGGCTTGACCGAACCTTCTCGCTGGAGGGCGAAATCTGCCGGAGAGGCCTGGAGGGCCTCCTCAGTCATGGTGTTTTGTGCTAGGAAGCTCCCTCACGGCGGCAATAGTGGGACCACACAGCAATCGTGCTGCCTTGGCTGTTGACACAGCCTATCGTTGTATGCACGAGGTGAGCAAAGGCTGAGTTATCACGCAGCAAATGCTGACCGGTGACAAGGTGTGGTGTGGGCATCCGGAGGTAGCGGCAACTTCCCGTTCAGTGCCAGGTTGGTTCCAAAACTAGGGTACTTTGCTCAAAAATCAATGAACCGCACGTTTCGGAGCACAGGAGCGAAAAAAGCCTCGATCATAGTGGAACCCACCAGGAGAACAGGAGAATTAGCCTGAAGGAGAGGTACGACTTTGCCCAGGAGTGAGGACAAGAGATGGCGAGCGACATCTTTTTTTAATTTTCAAACAAACCGTAGATCTGGTCAACAGTTGGTAGACTTCGTAGACCGTCGAATAGTAGGCCTGCTGTATCGTAGATGTATATGTCATCGTAGATGTTCAAGTCATCGTAGATGTTCAAGTCATCGTAGATGTTCAAGTCATCGTAGATGTTCAAGTCATCGTAGATGTTCAAGTCATCGTAGATGTTCAAGTCATCGTAGATGTTCAAGTCATCGTAGATGTTCAAGTCATCGTAGATGTTCAAGTCATCGTAGATGTTCAAGTCATCGTAGATGTTCAAGTCATCGTAGATGTTCAAGTCATCGTAGATGTTCAAGTCATCGTAGATGTTCAAGTCATCGTAGATGTTCAAGTCATCGTAGATGTTCAAGTCATCGTAGATGTTCAAGTCATCGTAGATGTTCAAGTCATCGTAGATGTTCAAGTCATCGTAGATGTTCAAGTCATCGTAGATGTTCAAGTCATCGTAGATGTTCAAGTCATCGTAGATGTTCAAGTCATCGTAGATGTTCAAGTCATCGTAGATGTTCAAGTCATCGTAGATGTTCAAGTCATCGTAGATGTTCAAGTCATCGTAGATGTTCAAGTCATCGTAGATGTTCAAGTCATCGTAGATGTTCAAGTCATCGTAGATGTTCAAGTCATCGTAGATGTTCAAGTCATCGTAGATGTTCAAGTCATCGTAGATGTTCAAGTCATCGTAGATGTTCAAGTCATCGTAGATGTTCAAGTCATCGTAGATGTTCAAGTCATCGTAGATGTTCAAGTCATCGTAGATGTTCAAGTCATCGTAGATGTTCAAGTCATCGTAGATGTTCAAGAGTTCGAGCCGCGACAGCGCGACAGCGCGACAGCCGTGTGGACGACCCTCCCTGGACGTTAGAGAACGCGCTCCCGGATGGAAGCGGGCTTCCCGGCACAAGCTACCGTGTATTAGAGGAATACAGTATGCGAGAAGACTTGCCGTATGAGGAACCTCTTCCTGCGCTATGGTCTTTGAGTCTGGGGCCGGGAGGGGACACCATAGATGAAGGGCCTCATCCTGTTCTGGAGTTTGCCGTGGTTCAACCCTTGCTACAGCTAGGGGACGACCACGCCCTCTGGCAGGTCGAAGATAGGTCCGGCGAACGGCATGTGCTCTGCGAAACCAGGTATTGCATACCAGAAAGTTAGGTTGGATGATATTTGTTTGATTTTGTGTGCGCTTGGTTCACTGCCAGCCTATGCAGACTAATGCTGATGTGTAGGTTGCGGACCTACACAGACTAGACTACACATTGACTGCTGTGTGCATACTAGGCCTGTCCTCCATCGGCCGTTTTGCTTGTATGACGGAAAATAAGAAGGTGGAATTACTTGAAATTATTATAGAAATAAAGTTTGTGTATCTAAATCGAAAATAAAACGGCCGATGGAGGACAGGCGTAGTGCATACAAAAAAGTGCATTTGGGGGGAAAAGTAGGGGGGTGGGGCTTAATGGGTGGGGTGGGGAAGCATGGAGATTTACGGTACACCTTCAGTTTGCCACTGCTACCATGGCAAGATTGCAAGAGAAATTCATGGACCGGCGGCAACAAATTCATCATGCACGTAAAGTGTAGGGGATTGACGGATCCCGGTGTGCATTACGCCGCATATGAACTTGGTGGACAGCGCTTGCTCGTGTGTAATTTTAAGCGAGCATCTACCTTTGAGTTAGCGCAAAGACCTGTTGTGCGTGACCCCGGATTGTTGCTGTTGTTTTCACATAAAAAACTGTTCCGGTCTCTCTGGTCTAATGTCCGTACCGGTCCATCTGACGCGGAGGCCTTCCGCGGTCACAAGTCAACTGCCCCACCAAAGGGGGGTACACCTTTCAAAGGAAAAATAACTAAATCATGGACACCATACGATATCCCGCCAAGGCGCGATTTGTTTCTCTACCCAAATGAAAAGAAAAAACAACAAAAAAAACAAGGCCAGTGACCGGGATACACCCGGTAAGGCATGAAAGAACGAAAGACAACTAAATAAAAAAGAGAACGACATCAGAAACAAAATGGAAGGTAAACAGGTCCCCTCCGACACTCCTGTCTACCTCAATAACAACGAAAAGGCAATTACTAACGTGACACCAAGCAGACGACTGATTTCCTACGACACAACATCACTTCATTTCGGGGGCACTGCGAGGGGGGCGGTTAGCGACACGACTGAAACAAAGCAAATAAAAATACATTGGGATACGTCCGGCTGGTATTCCTGCTATCGTCTCCATCATCGACATCAGTCCGGTACATGTCTCTCTATCCGTGTAGCCTTCTCCGTCCTGCTCTCTTCGGCTGTAGTTGTGCCTTCTGTCGTAGACGTTTCACCCCCCGTGTCCCCCCCCTGCTCTGTCGTCCGTTTGGTCTTCTGTCGGGTGTTTTTTTTGTTGCGTTCCTCCGCGCGTATTGTAGTATGCTTAGCTTCTCTTGCTTGGATTGGAGCTCCTCAATTGGAGGCAAAGACTGCAAATGGCTACATATGTCCTGCCACTCACGCTGCCGTATGCGCACTGTTGTTGCTGATGGTCCCGCACTGCATGTAAACAAAAATCAATTGGAGAAGCATCCGTGGGCACACGGCAATCTATTTTCTATAATTAGCTACATATGTCCTGCCAAAACCAGGAAAATATAAATGTACCCAAACAAAATACATGCTTAGACTCGTGTATGTACGTGAAAATATGCGTTTCCGGAAAACCCTCGACGAGACGGCTTCAACGCCGCAATTTTGGCGATGCCGCTCTTTTAGATACCTCTGCATCGTCGTGATATCTGGACTTCAAGATGGCTCGCAGGCGCCCTCAAGCGTTCATCATGTCGCTTGTAGTCGCTCTCGCTTCGTGTGGTTACTCTTTCGAATGACCAACAACAATAATTTAGTATCCGTACATCGGCACACATTTGCTTTTGTGGCGTCTCCCATATTTGACCGACCAGCTCTCCAAGGGTAGTCTATTGGTGCAACACTTACCGATGGTTTGGGGAGGAGGCAGCACTTACTTTACAGCTTATCTGCTAAACTTTCCTCGCATAAGTGCTTCCGACTGGTCCGAAGACACGATTGGAGTAGGCACGAGTTGCGGTGCGTAGCGACACCTTACGCAGTCGCAAAAACGTCGCAGGTATGCGATGCGTAGTAGATTGATGACCACGAGCAGTGTTCCGTGATTTCCTCGCCATAAATGTTTGTTACTGGCCAGGTTCGTCTTGTCCGAGAGGTTAGCTGTCCCACAGCTGGGAAGGCTACGGGAACTCATGATAAGAGAGGCACGCCTCCTCGACACGCTATCTCACGACTATGTGGTCCCGCTAGAGCAAGGGTGGCTGGAAGAGCGAGCAGGGTTGGAACAGTTTCATGTTTGCGCGAGAAGCATGAGGAAGAGCCAGGTTGAGGGGGCCAACTACACTTCGGTGTCGGCAGCGCAAGACCCAATCGGCATAGAACGCGTTGCGCACAACACGCGTCAACATCGATGCTGGGGGGATGCTGCTTCCACTGCTGTACTGGAGGAATGTTCTCTACGGCAACCGCATTCAATGGGCGCTGCAATGGCAAAAACAGGATCAGCAGCGCAGGGTTCGACAGTCTGTTGTGGTTGCTTTCGAAGGGAAGCTGGATTTCCTCCGTATTACGCAAAGAGAGACAAGTATTCAAGAGACGAGGAGAATGCTGCTGCATTCCTACTACATTCGCGGGTTCCGCTCACACTTGACGACATCGATTGCGAGGATGGTGGAATGGGCGGAATGTCTCACAGTATCAAGAGCATCGACGACGCAAGTACAGCGCCCCCGCAGCATGGAGGGTTGGAACAGCTTCGGTGGGGAGGGGACGGTACGACTGGCTGGAAAGGAACCGCCGAACCAAAACCATCTGCCGACAAGACTACTTCTTGCACTGGTTGCACCTCATCGCCATTGCCAACGGGTCAGCCACGGCCGATGTCCCTCAACTCTGCCGCTGCGGCTTCAGGTGGTTACTACTGCGGCTGCTGTGGCAGCGAAACCAGAGGCACCGGACATGGCGGCAGAGAAATCGTCCGCAGGCAGCGGGAGCGCACACTTTGCTTGACGTCGTATCTGCTTCTGCCAGACTGGCTGCCCTTGTCGGTTTGGTTTGACACGGAGTTCGAACCGCAAACCGCTGCGCCAGAAGGGCAAGACGGCGCAGCGACAGCAAGGGCGGTGACAGCCCCTCATGATTGGGCGCTCGTTTGGCGACATCTGATGTCTATGTTCGAGGGGGTACTGCGTGGTGTGGAGCACGTCCATACGAAGGGACTCGTGCACAACAACATCCATCCTTGCAGCCTGTGGGTGAGTTCGTGCACGTGCAGCGTGCGCCCTTAGAGGAGGGGGGGAGGGGGGATGCGTTCCACCTCCCCGAAGTACGCGCGCGGAGTTTGTTTTTTGTTTGTTTTTCTCCCACCATTGGACTCTGTCGTCTGCCCCTCTGGCCCCTATCCGCCACTTCTACCAGCTAGACGACCCAACCGGGGTCACACAGGAGGGGGGGGTTGGGCCCCTCCTGCGCTTCTTGCCTGAGATATTTTTATCGCGAGCAGGGTACAGCAATCCCGTCCCTCACCGACTTATGAAGTCGATCAAGTTTACTACCAACGAGCTTTGCAGTGCGTCGCTTCCAACGGAGACCAGGATTTAATAAGCGAGAAAAAACTCACTCTGTCGGGACTCGAACCCATGACCTGGCCCTTAGCAGGCTGCGAGGCTACCCACTAGACCACCGGGGCGAGTGTTGTGAGCCGGTTGTGCTCAAGGGTGATTGTGTCGGGGGGGGGGGGG